ACACACACACACACACACACACACACACACACACACACACACACACAAATGGCTAGATTCAGTTTTTTCTTTTCTACGAAAGTTTTGGCATTGGTGAAACCATGGCTTCCGAATCTGTGTATCTATGAATTTTAAAGTGGCTAGATTCTTGGGATCTAGGTCTAGCTGTTCGGCTGTTTGTCTGCTGTGAGAGCCTGTTTTAAAAAGCTCATTATTTAAAGATACTGTTCAAGCTCTTGACCATCAGCAACAAAGACCTGTGAAACCATTCAGTCCTTTGTTTTCTAGCCCACGGTATTATTTGCGTTAGTCATTATTTATGGTGGTGCTGGTGAGGAGGCCACCAGCTGTGATAATGCAACCAAAGGTTTGTACTTCCAAGACCAACACGTTCACCATGTCTTAGGCTGTCAGCACTCATCCTGGGGCAACTGGATTCCCTCTCATCCCCCACTAATCTGTCTGATTAGTGCTTGTACATTTTATCTTTTATATATTTATATCTACATATTTAGCCTAACTCCATCCAGGAGATTATACTTGGACCGTATGTCTTAGTTTCCCAGCTTTTAATAAAGTGTAGCACACAGATCAAAAACGATAAGGGCTGGGTTAAAAAGAGCAGACGTAAGAGTACTCGTTGGGGGCTGGAGAGATGGCTCAGAGGTTAAGAGCACTGGCTGCTTTTCCAGAGGTCCTGAGTTCAATTCTCAGCAACCACATGGTGGCTCACAGCCATCTATAATGCGATCTGGTGCTCTCTTCTGGCATGCAGGTGTGCCGAACATTGTGTACATAATAAAAAAATAAATCATTAAAAAAAGGAGTACTCAGCGATGTCACTGACTACTTCTAGTCACAGAGGTCATTGGCTCACACACATACAAGCATACAGACACGTACTTTTCATATCAGACCATATGAATTTCAAACATGCAGATGCAAATAGCAGCTGTGCAAGTATCTGTAGCTACAATATCAAATAGACACAATCACATTTATAGATACAATTAAGGACTAAAATAATTATCTATTACTTTCTTCCTGAATCCAATCGTTTGGAAGATCGCCACAAACCTGCATTCACTTTGGCTCGCAGATAATTCTCAGGATGAAAGAATAGCCAAATACTTACTCATATGTCATGGGCCTTTGGACAGCAGCCACAGAACAACGTGCCAGTTGGAAGAGAGAAAGAAAACAGTTATAAAATCAGGTGAATTTGAGTATTGGCTTGTATACTATGACCCACCAGTGCCGAGACATGGGTTTAATGAAGGAAAAACATAGTTTTTATGTTTCTTAGGGTCTTTTAACAGTGGTTCTCAACCTTCCTAATGCTGTGACCCTTTCATATGGTTCCTCATGTTGTGGTGACCTCTCCCCCAAAACCACATAATTGTTTTTGTTGCTAGTTCTTAACTGTAATTTTGCTACTTTCATTGAATCGCCATGTAAATATCGGCTATGCGACCCCAAGGGGGTCTCGACCCGCAGGGTGAGAACGACTCACTTACACATTAAGTAAGCAAAGAGCACACACTCAGAACGATCTGTTACCATGAAGGTACGTTCTCCAACTACATCTCACAGGTACAAGCTGACAGCCACAGGGGCTGTTAGCCTCTTGCTGCTTGCTGCCGGGGGGGTGGGGGGGTTCCTGTCTCTAATTACTTCTGAGCAGGCTGCCCTGAAAGCCCTTATGCTTCTGCTTCTCCCACTGAGGACCTGGCCACTCTTAAATGTAACTGGCTGTCTAGAAATTACACTTGCTGAATCTCCAAAGCACGTGAAGGAAAGGAAGCCCCTTCCAGTCCTGATGCAACTCCATGAGATGAGCTGGGCTGCATGGAAAAGGGAGCACCTCTTTTTGGAAGTAAAGGGGAAGGGGTAGGGGAGAGAGGGAGGGTGGGGCTGGGAGGGGAGGAGGGATGGGGCTACAACAAGGATATTAAGTGAATTTTAAAAAATCTGAGAGAAAAACAAGTTCATATTTGCTGTGTGCTCTGGCTAGGGTCTATGTTTACTTAACACAAGTCATTTTAGAAGAGAAAACATCAATTGAAGAAGGTGCCATCACCAGGATCTGGCCTGTAGGTAAGCTCTTCTTGATCAATGATTGAGGGAGGGAGGGACCAGCTCGGGCTTTAAGAAAGTTGTCTGAATAATCCATGGCCAGCAAGCATGTAAGTGGTGTTCCTCCGTGGCTTCTACTCCAATTCCTGCCTCTAGAATCCCTCCTTGAGTTGCTGCTCTGGCTTCCCTGGGTGATGAACTTATAGCTAAGGCAAAGTAAAAACTCTTTCCTCTCCAAGCTGTTCTCAGTCCTGGTGTTTCATCATGGCCAGAGAAACCCTAACTAAGACAGTGGTTTAATTGACTGAAATCCAACTTGCCCGGTGCTGTGGTGCACGCTTGGGATCCTAGAGCAAAGGAGACTGAGGCAGGGGACAAAATATTCAAGGTCACTTTGGGGTAAGAGGCAAGACACTGTCCAAAAAACAGACAAATGAAATAAAACCCAAGCAAAATGAATTTTAAAAATCCTTAAATCCCAACTAACTTTTAAATACAAAATCAACTAAATTAAACAGCCTTAGATTTATTATTCTCCTCTGTGTGGATGATGTGGGGGGCACATGTGTCAAGGGTCACAGGCAGTGGGCATGGGAAAATTTTGTAGAGTCCATTCTTTATTTACTTGCATCTCAGGGGTTAAACTTGGGTCAACAAGGTTGTGTAACAACTACCTTTGGCTGCTGAGCCATCTTGCTGGACCCTACACCAATAAAAACAATTTAGATGCATTTTCTTGATGCAGAGGAAGGAACTGAAAAAATAGAAGCATGAAAGCATTTTTTTTTTTCTTGAAGTGACAGGCATATTTCTCTAGCTGGCTTCGGGGTGTGGCTTTACGGAGTGTGTACACAATACGCTGAACATGAAGGCTCTCTGCATTTTCCCATCGGTATTCAGGTGCTTCATGCTCATGTATAACATTTGTCGTTACAGACACAACGGTCTAGGAAAACAGCCAGCCGCAGGAAGCTGTGCTGCCAAAAATTAAGCAATAAATACCCTGGGTTCATAGCGAGAGTTCCGAGCCCCTTTCTGCTCACAGCTACCTACCCATTGGGGTCCTTCTTTTTCCAGTTTGCCAGGACGCAGTCTGCGTAAGACAGAACGGGAGGCAGCCCCAGCTTCTCAGACAGTTCGCAGTAGGGAACAGCGATATTGCTGGGCAGCACCTGATGGAAACGCACCGGCTCGTGTTCAGCCACTGAAGCATCTTACGCTTTTTCTCACCTCACTGTTAAAACTTGTTCTGGAGCACAGATAACATCTGGAAGGCCACCAGTGTAGTTTTTCTCTCCCACATTTCATAACGTAACCCTGGCGATTGTTCCGAGTTCCTGTTTGGGATGTGAGTTGTCTGGGGCATAGTTTGGCCACAGGCAGGAAAGAAAATAAGATAAGGAGCCTGCAGGTTTTATATCCTAATGACCCCGAGTTATTTCCACTCTGTCCTTCACAACAGCACCATGTTAGCTGGCGCTAGTAAAACAGGAAAACTCAGTGGCCCCTGGACTTCTAGGCTTTGTTAAGGACTTTTGTGAGCAAGCAGACTGCTGTCCCAGAGCACACATTTAAGAAAGAAACACTCTTCCTCACCCCTCTGTATGTATGTGTGTGTCTGTGTGTGTGTGTCTGTGTGTGTGTGTCTGTGTGTGGTATGTTTATTCTGTTCTCAGTAAACTTCACTATACCTGGCACTGGTACCATGCCGGCCCTTTATCCCACTACTTGGAAGGATGATAAAGGAGAGCTGAGACCTCGAGGCCAATGCAGGACACAGAGTGAGTTCTGGACAGCCCTGTGCTACACAGCGAGACCCTGTTTCAGTATGCAAAACAGCGGCTACCCCAAGCAGTGGGGTCTAGTGTTTTAACTGGGTGGATGCGATGATTAATCTCGATTGCCAACTTGATTCTGATGAGAGGTGCGTAGGTTGTTATCACAGCGTAGCCTGGACTCCTCTGAGAGGGTGTTTCCAAAGGAGATCAATTAGCTAAACCAGGAAGATATGCCCTGGTTGTGAGTGGAAGGGTCTATTAGGCAGCAGCCACAGGTCGAATATCAGGGAGACAGCAGGGAGTCTACAGAATAGAAGCCTCTCTCCGCTCTCTGGAGAGGGTTGCTCCCACCACAGGAGGCTGGGTTCTACAGGCTGAAGCCCCTGAAGCTGTGCACTGAAATAAATAGTTCTCCTCCCCCTTATGTTGCTATGTGAGGTATTTCATAGGGGATGACACAACTGGCTCCTCCTCCTGGTGGAGACCCTGAGTTCCCTGGTGTCCAGGCCAAATTCTCTGTGCAGTTTATTAACTACACGGCTAGCCCTGTGCTCTGCATCTGGCCTAACATCATTTGACTTAGAATGGTCCCGTGTGGGGATAAGGGGAATCCTTGTAATAGTGTGTCACGGCTGGGGTGCGACGATAGCACAGGCACTCTAGAAGCGTCAGGTCAGTGTCATTGGTCACAGATGGTGCGACAGTAAGCCAATGCCACAGTTTTGAGAAATCATGAGCATTATAACGGCCTCAGACTAGCTCAATAGAGAGCAAAACCAGAGCCGCTGTTCATGAAATTGCACCTATGGGCACTGCAGACCCGCTGGAAACTCTTGGGCTGCGACCAGTCATACATGTTCAAAAGGAAAGGAAGTATTCCATCAGAGGTTTACAAAAGGAGGGCCAGAGGGCAACAGGGAACCATTTAGTAAAATAATTTGAACTGACTTAGGAAAAGTAAAATGACTGCCCTAACACATGTTTAGTACAAGCAGCTTTGAAGAGGCAAAGACATTCAGAACACTGAATTACATTTTGAGCATTCATTTTCATGTTGAGACAAAGCCTTTCCTGAAAATAAGTTGCTGCATTTTTTTTTTATTTCGAAAATTTAAGAGGCCAACAAGGTCATGATGAATTAAAACATGTTTTTCTTCATCTTTCTTTCATAATTTGCTTTCTCAACTGAGTCTGATAGCAGGTTCCTTTTTTTTTTTTTTTTTTACCTTTTTTTCCTTTTTTTTTTTTTTTTTTTTTTAAATGATGCTAAGACCATGAAGACCTCTACAGGCATTCCGAATGCTGTCTGTCTCTCTGTTTCATGATTCTTCTGAATTTGTAATCACACACACTACTGTTTCAGTCCCCTGGACTCTTGCTTGAAATAGATAGCAAATACTAACCTAACCCTAATTTTTCATTATAGACATGTAACACAGTCATGTGTACATACTTAGATTAAAATCCTAAGATGTCTGATGAGATTACACAGTCACTTACAATTTAATTTTGGTTAAATGCTGTCAGTTGGCCTGGAAGAAGAGACTCTTTGCCTCATCCCAGAATCCAGATGCTATTCCAAGACCATAGCGTGCTCCCATGATTACACAGAGCATCTAATTCCTCTCTGTGCCCCAGAACATGACTTATTTCATGGGTGGATTGTATGCATTCCTCTGATTTTAAACTGCACGTGGCAATAAAAATATCTGAAGAAAGCATCAATTACAGTTGCCCTAAATGGTAAGAGATACTCTGAGAAACTGATGTTATTCCCTTGGGACTTGAAATATGGATATATAATCTCTGTGGATTTCATGTGATTTTTGAGTGCCAGCTAAATTTGTAGGGCAACTATAAAGCATTTACAGTATTACTAATTTTAAAGAGCAGGACACAGGTCTGTATTTACTTATTCCACGGTTGTCCAGTATATGAAAGACAGCAGGCATGCCAAGCCATTAAAGAGCTGCTTTATTTTCCTCTCGATGCAAACTTTTTAAAGGTAGCCCGCTGGAGCCTCACAAGATCCTAGGTTCAACCCTAGCACCCCACTCCAGCGCCAACTCCCCAGCATCACAAACGATAATGATAATAACACAGCTCTTGTATTTAACTTTCTGCAGTACTAGGGATCAAACCCAGAGCCTTCCACGTGTCAGACAAGCACTCTGTCACTGAGCTACATTCCAAGACCTCAAAAGGCTTTACATTTAATGTAAGCTGGAATTCCCTTTCGTGTTAACGGAAACTCGCTATATGAGAGATACCGGAAGATCTCCAAACCTTTCGGGTATCGTCACCCCCTCGGTTCCACACGTATGCCATGGTGATGCACCCCAGGGCCAAGTGCGCCAGGCGCTGTAGCCTGTGCCCTCTGAGCTCGTCAGTGCGTAGCAGCGGCAGCTGAGAACAGATGGGGAGATTTGACTGATGTCAATCCTGGTAATGTTGTCGGTTTTAAGACCAAGATCAAAATGTGAAGAAATTACACAGAAAGACGGTTATACGGATTTTCAAACCTTCTCAGCTTCTTCCCGAAGCTGCCCGTTCTGAATGAGCATGGGCAGATTTCTAGCAATACGGGTCCAGGCACTGTACGCATCGGGAAGTTCCTCCTTGAAAAGAAAACAAGACCAAACAGCGGCATTTTGTTTCAATTGCTCGCGGAGGCCACTTGAAGTAGTACCGGCTTGACGGCCTGTCTTGCCTCTAGCACCACGCGTGCCCCCAATAAACATAGTCTGGAAACGCCAGCCCAGGCTTTGCCACTGGACAGAGGCATGGGCAGAAAACCCTGCTCCTTCATGTCTCTCTGCTCTTTCATTCACATCTTACAAAATCCAGCCCCAGCTGCTACCCAGACCCTCCTTGCTCCTCTATCCTACACCTGTCTCCTCTCCGTGAACCCCGTGAGTTGTGCTTTTTTACACCCAATCACTTATTTCCTGTTACGTTCTCCTTCTCAGGGGTATTCTTTGAATGGAAGAAAACTGAGATTGCGCTAAAGTTACCAGCAAATTATGCATTGAACTCAGTTCCACATATATATTTCTCATGGCCCAAGAACTGGTCTGTCATGTATTAAAAAAAAATCCGCATGCCACTTATTTTGCGTATAATTTATTTGAGGCTCGAAATAGCATTTCCACCTTTCAGAATCAAGGCTGTATTGTGCTTCTAACATATCTCTTGTGGGGCCTGGCACGTTACTGGACACCTAGTTCCTTTTCCATCCCGCGTAGCAGTCACGGACTATTGCTATAGCGCTTGCAGTTTGAGAGAGGAAAGCAGAACTAGGAGATATTTTCTATGTGGGTTTAAGCATGTGTGTGGATGTGTGCACATGTGTGGGTGAGAGTGTGTGCATGTATGTGGATATATGTTCATGTGTGTGTGTGCATTCGTATGTGAGTGCACGTGCGTATATGCATATACGTGTGTGTGTGTGTGTGTGTGTGTGTGTGTGTGTGTGTGTGTGTGAAGGCCAGAGGACAACCTCAGGCATGTCTGGCAGGCAGGCCCTAGGAGCATACTGGGATTTCAAGCACACACCACCCGCCGGCTTTTTTTTTTTTTTTTTTTTTTAACTTGGCTTCTGGGAATAAATTCACATTCTTGCTCATGCAAAGCGCTGACTGAGCCATCTTCCTGACCATGGATGTCTTTCTCCCATCACAATTTCAGACAGACTTGCTCTTACCATAAGTCTTAGCAAGCTCAACCTAGGTCGTTTTCTAGAGTAACTAGAGAATGGTCGCTTCAAGGGAACACTTGATGGGTCCTGGGCAGGGGCTCTGGATGTTAAGTAAAGAACCTAAGTCCCTCGATACTGGGTATCGTGGTCTAGCGCTTAGGCTGCTGCTGATGGGAGAAAGCATGGGAAGCAAAGTTATTGATGGGGAGGGGACTGGGCATAGGTGATGTCTATCTAATTCCTCTCTCATAGGTTATTTTAGCCTCCACCCTCAAATGAAGAAGAAAGCCAAATAAAGATATCTCCTGAATCTCATATTTATATTCATACGACACTAACGAACCCAAGAGCTACAGGCAATGCCCCCAAATGAACTCCAGAACTCTGAACCACATCCAACCGCTTCCTCCCTAAAGCAGCTTCCTGTCAGCGCAGCGTTTCTCAACGTGTGGGTCGAGACCCCCAACCTTTTCACAGGAGTCGCTGAAGACCATCGGAAAACGCAGATACTTACATTACGATTCATAAAAGTAGCAAGATTACAGACATGAAGTAGTAACAAAAATAATTTTATGCTTGGGGTTACCACTGAGGAACTGTCAGCGTAAGGAAGGCTGACAATCGCTGAGGTAGACCCTGAACTCTCCAAGATCCACATACGTGACCGGGGACACGGAGACCTCAACACTAGGTACTCCAGGGCACCCAAAGATGCAGGCTCCAGGGCACTCCGAGCTGGGGTACCAGGCGAGGTGCGCGGAGGCGGCGGGGCCTGGGGCTGCGCGCTAGACCGTGGTCCCGCCCCCCGAGGCGCCAAGCCACCGGATTGGATGGGAGCTGTGCGTGATGCTCTTTCTGAACTCCCGCGGGGTGCTCGCCCCAGAAAGCCCCGGGGCTGAGCAAGCTGGTGCGGGCCCACTTAACTTTAACCCTGCAGGGTTCCAGTGCCTCGCCTGCCCGGGGAACCGCCTTGGTTTTCCGTATCTTCTCCCAGTCTCAAGCCCACTGGCCCCCCCAAGACCAGTGCCTTCCTGGCTGCGGGCTTCTGGCTGGGTCCCAAGTCACCCAAGTGTCACCCAAGCTGCTTACTCCGGTTCTTAGTGGGACTAGGTGAGTGCAGGACACCTCTGTAAGACTACTTTGCCTCTTTCCTATTCTCCGTAAGTTTTGATAATGAAGATGTTAACGATAAGCTGGTAAGCGTGGCGTTTTCACATTCCAATTTAGTGACGTAGTTTTTATTTGTTTAGTAGGTTCTTAGGTTTGTTTTGCTGGAGACAGTCTGGCCTCGAATTGGAGGCCCCCTGCCTTTGCCTCCCAGGTGCTAGAATTATAGTTGTGGACCGTCATACCTGGTTGAGACACGAGGTGTTTTAAGATAAGCATTTTCCCCCTACATACATTGCACTTGGAGGCTCAGCTTGCACAAAAGAGCAGTCAAGGTAGATTACACTCTCCTCTGAATTATGCTCAGCAAACGACAAGCATTATTAACATGAAACAAAAGTCGCTTGATCTCTCATCTCATATACTGAAGTCAGTGAGGAACAGACTGCACATTTGATATAGTTCAGAAGAGAAGGGAAATTCCCACGAGTGGGGCCGTTTGAATGCTGCCTCTTCAGATCGCCTGGCTGGAAAGGTGGTTATTATAAGCTGACTTCCCCTCTACAAGCATCGCGTTCCTTCATAAAGCTGAAAGACATCTCATGTGCTCCTTCCTTCACTACTTCACATTTCCATGTTAAGAAAGTAAGGAGCACAAAGCACGACTGAATTTTCAAGAAGAGACACTGAAGAACAAGGAGGCTCCCTGATTCATACCCTGGCTCTAAGCCTGACACTTCATGCACTTGTTTAGAAGAAGCTAAGACATAGTTGCTTATCCAGAAATTCACCTGTTAAGACAGAGAGTAAGGATATAACAGATTTTCACTTCTCTTACCAGCGGATGTGGCAGAGCAAAGCCCACATCTTCATCTATGTGGTATTTTTCAAGGATCTTCCTAGAGCCTTCGGAAGAAGATAATTTACTGTGTGCCATGTCCACTGACCCCTGAACACTGAAGGAGCTTTCAACCTTTATAGACATGGTTTGGCCAGTCCCCACTGCTGACACGTAAGCAGGGAGAAGTGGGCACAGTTTCATTTTCTATTTTATGTATCCGTAATTTGATAAACAATAAAACCACACAGCATCCCCATTCATCACAGGAAGAAACTAAACATTCATGTTCCTTATCAGATTTACCCCTGAAGGACATCAGCTGCTGGCTACGATGCCCACAGGGTTTCCAGTACCTGTTATGGTGGCTAAGTACACAGGCAGGCCTCAGCCCTGGAAATACCCATGGGTGGCTTGGGTGGCCACCTGTTACCCCAGCAGGATTAGGCATTCCAGCCACAAAGGGCCCAACTGAAATGACAAGCATCATGAAGACAGGTGACCAAGAGAGACCCTTTTGCTTTAGAAAACTCCCAGAGTTTGGGTTTAAAATAAAGACTATTATGACAGCTATGCTCCAAACTGCCAATAGTTCTCCATTCGTGGCTTTCACTTAAGCTCCCACATGCCTTTCAAAACATCAGAGTTTTGTCTCAGCAGTCCCGAAAGACAACCTGAACGACATAGACTAGTCAGCGTCTGAAGGAGCGAGGAAGAGCACTTGGCGGTCTGGATAGATCCCTACACAGATGCTTACAGGCCAGACCCTTCCTCCTGCTTTTCCTCCCTAGATCCCTGTCTGTGTTGAGCCCAATGGAGGAGGGCTCCCTTCTTCCCATGACAAGTCATATGTTGGAGGTTGTCCACCTTCTCTACTACATCTGGCTGTCAGGGACTGACCCACGACGAGGCAAGAGCCCTGCACATCTGGAGATTTTCTAAAGCAAATGTTCAAACGACTAAAAGTCTTTCTCACAGAACAAAATCCAGACTTTGGTTGGTAAATGTTTACAGGGTATCAAGTTGACGTCTGCCTTGATCCAATGGTTTTAGTTTTGTTGTTGTTGTTTCGTATGGGCTTCTACATTTTTTATTTATTTTCCATTTATTTTTTTTTTAAGATGGGGCCTCCTCACACTGTAGAGGCATCACTTGTTTTTAGGAAATTCTGAGCCCAAAGCAGAAGCTACATGTCCCTTTTGATGATCAGAAGAGGAAAAAAAAAAAGTGTACAGTACATTAAAAGACAATCCAGGCTTATCATGCATGCCATCAGCTGTTGAAACAAATTAATGAGCCATGGCTCGGGAACATTCTAGAACAGCTCTGGCACCATTATCATTTGATGGCTTTTCTTTGAACAGATAGTTTTTCCAAGAATATGTGCTCATTATAAAAAAAAAAAAAAAAAGGCAGGAAAAATCAAAACCAAAAGTAACACAGTAAAGAGAACACAATAGTGAAGGTTTTGTAGAGTACATAATTCGTGAGGCTGATTCATTTGGAACCATGTCAAAGGTGGGGCCATGAAGTCTTGTTGTATCTTCAAAGTATGACACAAGGTAAGATTTTTACAGAGCCCTGTCATTTCTACTAGAAAGCAAAGATTCTATCACAATATTGACATTTGGAAAATGTGTTATTCTAATGATAGAAACAAGTTCTAGAGGATTCTGACTTGGAAAAAAAAAAAAACTTTTGGGAGTAGTTCCAAAGAGCCATGGCTGGTAAAGCTTGTTTGTTTGTTTGATTTTTGTTTTGTTTTTCTACCCTGCTTACCCAGGAGCCTCCATCCATCCCATCTTTGATGTCACACACACACACACACACACACACACACACACACACACACACACACACTTTATTTACTTTCTTCTGTTTTATGTCACATCCTCCATGTGCTACCCCTCTTCAAACATATTTAATCAATATGAGTCTGGCAAATCCTGTCTCCTTGGCTTCTGAAGCTATGTTCTCAGTTCTCTGCCTCCATTTCTCTTCCTGTTGAAAGCTGCTGACATCTGGCTTCTGAAGAACATCTCAATCCCATGCTCTCACACATAATCTCTTTCTTCCTTTTGAGTTTTCCCCTGTGATCTCATCATCAGCTAGAGAGCTTGGGAGCCTTCTCCCTAAAGCTTCCTACCGCTCAGTCCTGTCTGACTCTGCCTTCCTTAGTACCATCACCTGTTTCATAATTTGGGTGTTTCTCTATCATCATTATATTTCCTGCCTAGACCTCTAGCTATCCAATTCATTTTCAACAGCTTTATCAACATTCCCATGTGGAAATCTCATTGTCTTGTGCCACTATAGCTGTTACACCATACACAAAGACTTACAAAGAAATCATCTGGGCACGGCAGCACATACTCTGAATCTCAGACTTGGAGGTTTCTGACAGGTAGCTCAAGAGTTCAAGGCCAGATTGTGTTATATTATAAGGCAATTAGTTAACTAGTGGGTTGGAATAAGAGATCTGTAGGGAAACCCTTATCGAGGGTTATGCAAGACTAAACTTATTCTTTCTTAATATGTGAATCTCTGAAATGCATCCTGCTTCCTCCTTAGCATTGCTACTCAGTCTCAAAATATACTTATTTTTTCAATAAAGAGATTCTCAGTTTAAAATAAGAGGATCTAGGACACACATGCAAGAAGAATGAAAAATAACCGAAACACCAGTATTCAGTGATATTCTAATATCTAAAAGACACAGCATCTTTGGTACATGTTTGTAGCAGGCCGTTGCCCCATCCCCACCCCTGAGAATTTAGTGTCAGGGTTTTTCAAAAACTCTGATGGAAATGAAAATTTTGATCTTCATAAATATCTAGTTAGGAAATTATGTGGACATTCCTGGAAGAGGATTCCTATGATACAGTATGTTCCTTTTTTACCTTTTTTTT